TGGAAAGCCTTGGCGTCGGCAACTCCTCCTCCTCCATCATCATCTTCTTTCTGTTCTCCTGTCTCTCAGCACCTCTATATAGTTTATATAGTAGCAACTGGCCAAGCAAACCAACTAATCAAACAAAACACGAACGCCAAACGAAGGCTTTCCACGAAACATTTGATGTGTTTTTCTGTGTTGTTGTTGGGGACGAGACGATTTCCGTTTTGGGTCGAGCTGCTATATAGCTATATTGCTGATTTTTTTTTTGTTTCTACGCTTTTTTTTTTTTTCCTGGTGCTGAGTGGCCGAGAGTGTCGGTTTGGATTCGCCGCTAATTCGCATTAATCATACGACGCGTTGGACGCTTGCTGCTTGCTGCTCTCTTTTGTTTATGCATTGGAATCATGAAAACGGAATGAAATGAAATTCATGCAAAACACCAGAGCCAGCGAACAGCGAACGTCGCCAACGTGAAAAGAAACATTTTCCACATTTTTATTTTTACACGCAGAAAATATTTACTAGCAAAAGTGGAGAGCGAGGGAGATACACGACGACGACTACGACGTCTTCTTACTCACGCTTTTGTTGCTTGTTTTTAATGTGTCAAGGTTCGCGGCATAATTTCAGTTGCTTTATTTCATTTGCTGGCAAAGCAAACAGAAAATATATCAAAGACACGGATGGGAGAGTCTGAGAGGGGATTGGCGAAGATAGAGAAAACGAGTCATAAGCTGTGAAAATGTTTGACTTTCTTTTTTGAATCAACAAAACGCCTATATAGAACATCAAAATGTTGTCAAAGAAACGATAAAAGCTTGGGAAGAATGGTCATTATTATTAAAAGAGGCAATCCATCGATTTGAAATCATTTGAAAATGTGTCCAAAAGTATGCTATAAAATATTTTAAGCTTAAATTCAGTTTAAACCAAATTGTGTAGCCTACTTATTAGTAGCATTTCAATTGTTTTCAGTTCTTTAAACTATTCCAAATTATTATTTTAACATATTTCTGTAAAAAATATATTATTTTCTTTTAGAAGGCAATCTCTAAACTTCAACTTTGATTTCCTATACTTTTTTTCCCACTGTTCGACCAGTACTTTATCTTGGCAACCTTCGATTTCGACCATACCCCCTCAGACATCAGACACTTTAGCCCCTACCTCCCCCCTCAACAAAGTTATTAAGCCCCAGTGCCAGGACATCAGGACGTAAAAGCAAAGAAGATGGAGGCCAAGGCGAAGGCAAAGGCGAAGATGAGAATGTTGGCGAAGGCGAAGACGCATCGATAAATGTAAATGCAGTAAATGTGGGAAAATGGCGGGGATTTAGGGGGTGAAAAGACGGGTAAAAAAGGGGTTGTGGAGGAGACAGGGCCAAAGGGTACCGGGACTATGGTATAGTTATAGTTATAGGTGAGGGTGGCGGCAAAATACGTAGAGGGCAAAACATTTTTATTACCGCAGTGGAGTCGTAAAAAACTAAATTACTTTTAAGTTTGTAAATTGTGCGAGCTTTACGTCTCGCTCTACCTCTCTCTGTCTATCTCTCTCTCTTTGGCAGGGGTTACATGTTTGGCCTTCTCTTTCCATCGCTTCAGCGCTTCTGGTCAACGCAAGTTTGCATTCTTTGTGTCACGTTTCCATCGAAAGATAGGAAAAACACAGATACAGCTACAGCTACAGCTACAGATACAGGCAGCGAAAGAGACAGTAGATGCAGATACGCGGGGGGCAAGCGAAAGAGACGGCATGATCGATGGTGTGGTAGCGCAACGCAGCACAGAGGAAGAAAAACAAATTTATGAAACGTCATTTATTCATAATGAGCCAGGGAAAAGTGGGAAAAGTGTTGGCGCGTGTATCGAAATGAACCGAGAAATATACAGTGCAAAGAGTAACAGAGAGAGGGAAAGAGACGGAACTGAGGGACAGAAAGAGACGGCATTGCATTTCGAGTGTTGTAAAGTGCCATAAACTTATTAGGCGAATATTAGGTGTGCATGTGTGTGAGTGTTTTCACGAATGTGAATGCGTAACGAGTACTTGGTATTCACTTTGTTATTCATAATTTTTTTTCGGGTATACTTTCCTGGCTATTCGTAATTGTTTAACCCTCTATTGAGTGGGTATCGATGACCCCCAAGCGAGTGTTCACAGAAGAGGATAATCCTCTGGGAATGTTTTGGCTAAGCTGTTTAGAGGGTTTGCACTTGGATTTTAATGGTCTAATATTTATTTAGAACTATATTTGGTATGAAATTTGATACCTCGTAACCCTTGAGGGCACATACAAGATTTTTATATTAAAAGGTTGAACATTTAGGCTAACTTTATGGTAGTTTTTTAATAGGATAATTAAAACAAGGACTGTTTAAAATGTTTGAATATTCATTTGTATTGTTTCTCCATCGAAAATTAGGTATTTCAGAAGTCCATACCCTTTTGTTTTTGTATCTTTTCCAACAAAGCTACCTGCAAATGTGTTAAAATTGTGGTAAATATTTTTGCTACCCAGAAAAGCGTCACTTTGCGGTTGTTCCAAAGCATTTCGCAACATTATTTTGCACACTTGCAACCGCATGGAGTCCTCTGCTTTGGCTTTTGCAAAGTGAAGTTTTATATATTCACACAGAGATACTCGTACTCGCACTCGCAGCTCACTCACAGATTCAGATACACATTCGCACACCTCGCGACCCCACTCACATGTCATTGTGTTGTGTTGGTGGCTGCGCCTATTCGCGGCTATTTTGTATACATTTTGCATTAATTAAAAACAAAATAAACAGCTAAAGTCGCGCGCGCGCTTCGCCTGCTGCACGGGGGCAAGAAAATAAAAAGAAAAATGGGTAAAAAAACAAACTAAAAAGCAAACACATTCTGATTTAAATGTGATTGTTTTTCTTTTTTGCTTTTTCAGTTCGCCTTCGTCTTCTTTTTTTGCTTTTCTCTCCCACTTTTGCTATTCACTTTACAAGCGTGAAGTCAGGGGGAATGTTTTTCAAGTGGAGTTTTTACGACACCTAAAACGAGTTGAAATCTAGTAATTAGTCTTTAACCCTAGACGGTCATGCTTATTTTTCCTACGTTAAGGTTATGCTTCGTCGAATCGACGACGCCAATTTTAAAATAAGTATAAATGATAAAAAACAAACAAATATTGTAACAAAAATTTGTACAGCGTTTAATTCATCATTTTAACTGTTCAAAATTAGAAATAATAATTCATTCTCATATTAAGAATATACTTAAAAACTGAAAATAAAAAACAGCCTTTTTTTCATTTTTCGATCTTTTGTGATTTTGCGTCGTCGAATCGACGAAGCATGACCGTCTAGGGTTAATGGTGGAAAGATATTGTGGTAGAGGGAAAATTATTCAGAAAATGCTATGAAAATATTAAGAAATATCAAGGGATACTAAGGAATACAAATAATTACCAAAGATTACCTAGAGATACCAAAGAACACCAAGAAATATGGATACCAACGAATACTATAGGATACTAAAAGATACCAACGGATACCTGGATAATATGTCATAAACTAATATGATTTTTATAATAGATAAAGATTTCTTAAAATTTCTAAAAAATTCCGAAAAAAATTACCATAAAAACTTTAATAGAATATACCATATATTGGGTAATATAAATTACAAAGAAAGTTTGAAAAACTGGTTAAAATCTATTTTATCAGAAGTTAAAAAATATATTATCTTCAAGATTAAACCCTTATCTTTTCAAAACTTTTCTTGTTTCTTCTCAACTTACACCTCGAGTGCATATACCCTTCCCTAAGCCAAAACTAATGGGTATCGCTAGCGCTGAAGTAAAGCAGAACAGTAACAAAAACAAAAACAAAAGGCAGCCCCGACGCCAACATAACACACACTGCCTCAGAATCGCTCACACAGATACTCGCGCTGGTGTTCTGGTTCTCTTTTCCCAGTCGCAGTCGCAGTCGACGTCGCTGCCACTGATTAGAAGTGTCTTTTGCCTTTTATGTTATTGTTTCTGCTTCTTGCTACCTCTCTGTTGTATTTTTTCTGATTTTTTTTCCTGTTACGTTTAGTAATATATATATTTTTTCGAGATTTTTGCTGCCTTTGTGTGCACTTGCCATTTTTCATGAAATTTTCGCTAAGGCTTTTCAATAATTTTTTGCACGTCTTGCAAAGAGTGAATTTCTTTCGATTACTCTTGCCAAGTCAGCGATATGCCATTGTTGTTGTTGTTGCTGCTATTGCCATTGTTTTGTTGTCGAGTGTTAATCGAATCGTGCGACTCTTCCATATACACATTATATTGTGTACATGTACATCTATAATTTATGTGTAATTTCGTCCGAGCAGCTGAACAAATCAAATTACAATCAAAAAAAGAACAAAGAGATCCGCGAAGAACTGTGAAGAAAATCAAAAAGGAAAAGAAAAACTAAAAAAAAAAAATAAAACAAATCCAAAACAATAACCAAATGCGCCCGCGAAGCAAACGCAACAAAATGCAAAACTGTCGACGCTGCTCAACATTGTCGACATCGCCTACCAACACTGGACGGAAAAGCTCTCCCTATCGATTTGCAGCAGCCTAAAGTCTCCCCACAAATCTCCGAATCTCGCGCCTCTCGAAATCTATAACGATATCGAGCTTCAGCTATATAAACTCTGCGTGTTTGTGTCTATATATCAAAGTGTTTTCCCAAATCTCGTCTCCTTGACTCTTAATGTCTTCTGAACAACTCAAGTAACTCCAAAACTTAACTTTGCCTAAGCCAGTAAAAGTCATAAAATAATTATCTATGAATATTTGGGTAAGATAATTTTTTAGCCTGAGATCTATATTAAATTACTTATACCAATAACACCTTATTAAATATATAGTTTATGAACATATGCCTCTTATAAAATTTAATTTTTAATCTCATTACATATTTACTTCAAAAAAAAAAAAAATATTTCATAAAATTTACTAAATATTTTCCCCTTTTCCCTCCTTTACTCCTTTTTAGCAACAAAAATTCCTGAAACGACCTGCGGAGGATGTTGACAATGGCGCTGACAACTTTGAGCCGCCGCACAAATTGCCCAATAACAACAACAACAATAGCAGCAATAGCAACCAAAATAACAACAACGGCAATCCGAATGCCAACAACAACAACAATGGTAATGGCAACAACAATACCGGCGGCAACAACAACACGAACAATGCGAATAGCAACAACAACAATAATGGCAATGGCAATGGCAATACTAACAGCAACAACAACAACGGCTCGGAAAATCTAACCAAATTCTCAGTGGAAATTGTACAGCAACTGGAGTTCACCACATCAGCGGCGAATTCACAGCCGCAGCAGATCAGCACGAATGTCACAGTGAAGGCGCTGACCAACACTTCGGTGAAGAGCGAACCAGGAGTTGGTGGAGGAGGCGGTGGTGGTGGCAACAACGGAGGAGGAGGCGGTACGAACAATAACGGTGGGGGTGGTGGCAACGGCAACAACGGAGGCGGCGGAGGAGGCGGTGATCATCACCAACAGCAGCAGCAGCAGCAAGGCGGCGGACTGGGAGGCCTCGGCAATAATGGAAGGGGCGGAGGACCCGGTGGCATGGCCACGGGTCCCGGCGTTGGTGTTGGCAACCTTGGAGTCGGCGGTAACCTAGGCAACCTGGGTCTGCCACCCAATATGATGTCTGCCCAACAAAAGTCCGCCCTCGGCAATCTGGCCAATTTGGTGGAGTGCAAACGAGAGCCGGATCATGATTTTCCCGATCTTGGTTCCCTGGACAAGGATGGCGGCGGTGGGCAGTTCCCCGGCTTCCCCGATCTCCTCGGCGACGATAATTCGGAGAACAACGACACCTTCAAGGATCTCATCAATAACCTGCAGGACTTTAATCCCAGTTTCCTCGACGGCTTCGATGAGAAGCCGCTGCTGGACATCAAGACCGAGGATGGCATCAAGGTGGAGCCGCCAAATGCCCAGGATCTGATCAATAGCCTGAACGTAAAGTCGGAGGGTGGATTGGGTCATGGCTTTGGCGGCTTTGGCCTCAATCTTGGCGATAATACAGGTATGAAGATGCGTGGCGGCGGCAATCAGGGTGGAGGAGGAGGCTTTCCCAATGGCCCCAACAATGGCGGCGGAGGAGGAGGCAATGTGGCTTCCAATGTGGCTCCCAACTCTGCCGGCAACTCTGGTAATCTCATGTCCGAGCATCCGCTGGCCGCTCAGACACTCAAGCAAATGGCCGAGCAGCATCAGCACAAGAATGCCATGGGCGGAATGGGTGGTTTTCCGCGTCCACCTCATGGCATGAATCCCCAGCAGCAGCAGCAACAGCAGCAGCAGGCTCAGCAACAGGCGCAACAGCAGCAGCATGGCCAGATGATGGGACAAGGTCAGCCGGGTCGTTACAATGACTATGGCGGCGGCTTTCCCAATGACTTTGGTCTAGGTCCCAACAACCCCCAGCAGCAGCAGCAGCAACAACAACAGCCGCAGCAGCAACATTTGCCGCCTCAGTTCCACCAGAAGGGTCCTGGTCCCGGAGCTGGAATGAATGTGCAGCAGAGCTTCCTGGACATCAAGCAGGAGCTGTTTTATTCCTCTCAAAACGACTTCGATCTCAAGCGTCTGCAGCAGCAGCAGGCCATGCAGCAGCAGCAGCAACAGCAGCAACATCACCAGCAGCAGCCCAAAATGGGAGGTGTGCCCCAGTTCAACAAGCAGCAGCAGCAACAGCAACAGGTGCCGCAGCAGCAGCAATTGCAACAGCAGTACTCGCCCTTCAGCAACCAGAATGCCAATGCGGCGGCCAACTTCCTTCGCGGCCCCAATGGCAATCAGCAGCCAGGCAACCTGCCGCAGCAGCAGCAACCTGGCGGCGGCCCACAGCAACAGCAGCAGCAGCAACAACAGCAGCAGCAGCGCAATGGCAATGGGCAGCAAAACAATCCAAACAACGGCCCTGGCGGCAATGCCGGCAACACGCCGCAGCAGCAACAGCAGCAGGCAACCACCACCACGCTGCAGATGAAGCAAACGCAGCAGCTGCACATAAGCCAGCAGGGAGGAGGAGCCCATGGCATTCAGGTGAGTTTCAGAATGAAAATATATATGATTTTTAGAGAGAAAAACCTTTTTAAGAAATGAGAAATCCGAGGGAAAGCTTGGTAGATTTCTATATCCTTTTAATGAGAAATAATTCTGTAAAAAGTCTAGGAAAAGTCTAATATCCTTTTACTAAGAAATATATCTATAAGAAGAGAGGAAGTCTTGGATTATATACCCTTTTTTGTAGTAGAGAGAAAGTCCAAGAAGAGTCCGATAGAATTTTAAATATCCTTTTCAAATAAATAATACTGTAAGAAGAGAGAAAGCCTAGGGAAATTCTGATAAAACTCTTAGTTATGTACTATATATAATACTTTATCACAATCTTTAAAAGTTTAATATATCATGAAAACTATAGTCTTATAGAGATATATCCTAAATCGAAGCTGGAGGTTTTATTCCCGTCTCTCTAAGTTTATCACCTCCTTTTCTCTTCACATAAACAATAAAGTTTATCACAAAACCTTAATTAAATATCCCCTTGCTGATTTGCACATATAAGAAATACTCCATTGATAAACCCAATCAAGGATATATAAAACCCTTTTTCCGAAAAGGAAACCAATAAAGCAGGCAAGTGTGACTGTTGCCTAGGATGAAGCTTATCCAATAACATAACGCTACTTAATGCCATTGACACGTATGTAAATTTCCATGCATATTTAAGTTATCAGCGTAACGAAGTCAACAGCTTTTCATGAAAATCCCGACAGAGAGCAACGGCAAAGGAAAAAGCTCCTAGGGGGTGGCTTTTCCACACAGACACACAGAAATTGAGTGGAACTCAGTTTTTCACTCATTTGAATGCTTGTTTTTCTTTTATTTATCTTTTTTTTTTTTTTTGGTAGGAAAAGATCATAAATCATGTTGGGCAAACAAGCCCGCTTTTCCCGCTCTCTCTTTGTCTTGGGGAGTTTTTCGCGCTCACTCTCTTAGTTTGCTCGCTCTCTCTCTGTCGCTTTTAACCCTCCATTTTCCATTTCCCACTCGCTGGCCGAGTTTATCTCTGTCCATTAATTTTACCACACATCTGTTCATAAAATTGCTCGGCGACCTGGCGCTCGGCTTCAGTGAAGCCTCGGCAGCCAGCGAGGTTCCTACGCTTCTCGTCACTGTCCTTCGGCTTTCCGCTTTTCACCCACTCATCCCTTTCCCCCCTTGAATTTTCCCCGAGTTCCATGTGCGCCATTTTCATTACGTGAGCGACAACTGAACAGCATGAAAAGCGGGGCCAAAGACGCGACGACCAGCAAAAAGAAGATTGAACATGAATTGCTATTGCTGTATTTTCTAACCATTTTTTTGTGTTCCCACAAATGTTCCTCTTTAAGGACGTTTTTTTTTAGACATTTAGCAAAGAAAAAACCTTAACTTAAAGAAGGATGGTTTGCAGACAAGAAAAAATAAGAAAAAAGTCAGAAGCCATAAAAGATTATTCTGGACAAGAGTCGTTTTAAAATAGCAGAAGGACGAAAAACAAAAAACAGGAACTGGCAAATAAAATTCATGAAGATTGAGTGGCTTTTTATGAGACAGCTGACAATGAATATAAATAAGAATGTTTTTTACTTAAATAAAATAACATTTAATATTATTTTTGGATATTTAAAGATAGATTTTATGAACAAGAAACGTTTTCTTATAAAAAACTATTGTTTAATTTAAAAACCAGGGTAATTTATTCCTTTAAAGCTTTGTCATAGGGTTATTTTCTATAATTTATTTGGATATATATTAATTTCCCTTACCAAAACCCTTTCCTAACCCCTTCTATTACCAAAACAGCATATTTGCTTCCTCCCTTTGAGCCTTATTTATTGTGCATTCTCTTTTTTTTTGGCAGCCAACCCCCAAGTGCATGGCCCCATGAACATTTCACTGGCTTCTTCGTAATCACTCATTCATATAGTAAATGCATTCATCACTTCATTGCTCCCAAAACCCTTTTTTTTTTGCACCCCCCTGTCTCCTGGCCTTTTTAGAGGCGGTTTTTCCAGGAAAAAAATGCAAGCGAATCGCTCACTCTCTCTCACACAAAAGCAATATTCCCTGGCCACATGCATCCACATCCACAGCCATCCATCCAAAACATATATCCCTCCCCAGTCCTCTGGGCTATACCAAAATGCACTAAACCTAACCCATATTCATTATCCGCTCCAAATTGTTTTCCTGTTATTTCGAAGCAACAACATCAAGGGGAGCAGCAACAACAGCATTTCATTTACAAAATGAAAGTGCAAAACTTTTTAAGTTAAGTTTCATGTCGCTGAGTAGTTTTCATCAGAGAACAGCCAAAAAAGCATAAAAGAGATGGAGAGAGAGAAATGGGAGAAGCTCCGGTACTGAGTGGGGAATAGAGAGATAGAAAGAGCGAGTAGACTTTGGGTTTTTGGGCCTGGTCCGAAAAAAGGGACACGGCAATGGCATTTTGTCCGCTTTTAGCCAGTTACACAGGAGGAAAATATGATGAATTTTGGGGGAGAATAAACCTATATTTATTCGGCAAGACATAGCCACTAAAATATCATCGATTAAACTTTATTTTCTTCTGCTATCAACTCAAACCATTTGGGAATTATAAAGCGAAACTGGCTGTTGCCTATCCATCTTTATAATTAAATGACAAAATTATCTATGTGTTTCAATATACAGCCACTTTTATTATGATCTGTAACCCATCCCATCGCTTAAATATTTTTTTCTTGTTTGATCAACTAAAACTGTTTGGGAATTTCAAGGCAATTTAACAATTTCTCTAGGTGTCCTGGTTCTGGGCGCATTCAGCTCAAGTTTTGCCATGAATTTTGTTCATGCATTAACCCTCGACTGCCTGAGACCTTTCCCCCATTCAAGCCGGGGAACCCATTTCCCCTGTAACCCCCCTACCCCACCACCACTGTGCATAGGAAAATAGTTGAAGCAAGCGAGAAAGGAGAAAAGCTAGGAAAAGCGAGCAAGGAGGGAAAACAGTTTGGAGGAGGCGAAACTTGTTGACGATTGAGATTGAAATTTTTCGGGGTTTATTATAATTTTTTATTCCTGCTGCCCACTAGCCACTCAAGCTAGCTTTCCGTCCCACCCCCCCTGAGGGCCTTGGCGTCTAGTTTTCCCGCCGCTCCCCTTTTTGGCAGGTTTTCCTCAACGGAAATGTGGATGCTGCTGGTGGCTGCCATAATCAAAGGCTCGTGGCTTGTCCTGCCAGCGAATCCTTTCGGCTCGCTTATCGGGCCAAGACACAACACGTATACACACTTAAGTCTAACGATATATTTGCATAGGACTCATTAAAAATGCCCCCTTCGGGCCGAGGAGGGTTGCAAAAAGCCAAAACAGCATCGGATTCAACGACTTTTTCCCCGGCTCAATAATATATTTGTAGGGGAGGGAGCTACGGGGGAAAAGTGTGTGTGTGTGTGGAAGCCCCTTAAGTGCAAGAAATAAGCGGGCAAAGTGTAAAATGTACAATAAATATGACAAAGAACGGTTGGACGAAGCTAGAAAGAAAGCGACCCAGCGACGAGTGGTGGAATATGCACAATAAATTAAGCGGCGAGCAAAGAAAGTGAAAATAATAATGTAGAGCTGAAGTGTATAAATGTAAAGGAGCGAATGAAATTAAAGAAATATAACTAATGAGGTTTTCTTTGTACTCAAAGAAAATACTTGGAAATTAACAGGAACAGAAATTCAGGGAAATTTATAGAAAATAACATAAAGGAACTTGGCAAGAAAATTAATTTAGGGAAATTAACAGAATTAATTCTATGAAATTAAATAGTTGGGGAATAAATGGAAATTTAAACGAATTTTCTTAAAAAAAATGATTGGAGAAATTGCAATATGAGAAAACTTGGAAATTTCTTAAACAGAGTTGTCAATGCCAAGAAACTGGTCTTAAATCTAAACTACTCTCATCAGCATTTCAAAGTTGAGATACTTTTGAAGTTTATCCTTAAGACTCTAATGAAAGCTACGTGTTTGTCAAAAAAACCTCACCACTTTCTCAAAGAAAACAAAGTGTCTACCATACAAATGAATGACTTTCATCATCAGATGCTTTTAGAAAATAATAAAACATAAACGAACTTATAACCAAAGCAACGGCTCAAAGTTCAATGAATTCCAATTCCACAAAATGCTAACCATTTTGCATGTCCTGTTTCTGCATTAACTCGTTAAAATGCCAGCAACCGCGGGGCCACATTGTGTAGTTCTAGCAACCAGCTAAATTTGTATAAAATACAATAAAAAAAAGGGGAGCAGGCAGGAGGAGGCCTTGCCGTCATCAAAATGCCGGGGCGCGCACAACACAGTATGCAGCGGAAATGTGCAAAACGTGAAAATGTGCGGAAATTATACTCGTTCGCTCGCTAGTCCAGTCTTTCTCGCAGAAAGAGAGCGAGATACAGAGACAGCGAGTGAGTAAGGAGAGCGAGAGACAGAGACAGCGAGTGAGTAAGTAGGGCGAGAGGCAGAGGGTCATATCAGATTTTATGACTTGGCCCGGGCGACTTAATGAAGTAACCGAGGGCAAAGCCCAGCCACATGCGACCCAGGCAGGAACTTCCAGGAACCAAAAACAAAGCTCTCTCCCTATCTCAGTCTCAACCCGGAACTGAACCCTCTTTGATTTTACCCCGAAAGAAAAAAAACTCCAAAGTCATTTTGTATCAAAAAACAATAAATAATTTATAACCCCGCGGCAAAAGGAACTGACTGAATGAGTCGAGGAGATCTAGACAGCATCCAAAGTACATATAATGAAATGACAAAAGGCAACGGCGCAGGCGTCAAGGCTATAAAAGTAAATCCTCGGAAAATTCTGTGGGTTTTCCAGGACTGTGTTGGGATATTTGTGGTATATTCTTTAAGGGAAATATAGTTATAAAGGGAATTTATTTAATTCTAAACACAAGGTATAAAAATTTGTTGAATATGCATTATACAAATTGAAAGAAATTTTTTACGTAATTTTA